ATATATATATGAAGCTCCTGTGGTAGGCCTACACACAATTGAATTGACCCAAGTTTATTTGGAATTTTTAAAAAAAGAAATAATAATAAAAAGATTACAAAATCAGCACCAAAGTCATTCATATGTGTTTGAAAGACGTTCTTATTTTATTAAATAAAACAAACGTTATATAAATGAACATTTTATAAAAGTTTAATGATTCATTAGCCAACATATTTCATGGGGATGCGGCTCAACTATCATAACTCTGGTTTTTCACATTTAACAGGAGGAGAAAAAAAACTTAACTGATTTTTCACCTCTATATCCATCAAAGATACCTGCTAGGCTGAGGTTTTATGATTTATTGTAAAACAGAACCCAACTTTTTTTTAAAATACAGAAATAAAGAATTAATACAGGCAAAAACAGATAAAACTGTCCCCATCGTTTTATGCAAGAAAAATTCAGAAATTATGCAAACTTAGCCCAAAAATGTGAAATTATGCGATTCTGTTAATTTTAACAAAGAATGATATAGGAAAATATTTAGAAATTATGCAAAAAATGATCAAATTTTGCTAAATTATGCGGGGTGCATAAAACCATGGGGACAGATCAAATTCAACTGATTAAATTGTTCCTGGCACACGTTCTGAACAAATGAGAAGCCAGAAGTAACATGATAATACCGTGAAGCCCGCCTAAAGTGAACACGCTTTATTTGAACAATCGGTAGAACTGAACCATATTCTGTGGTTCCGATTGAATTTGTTTAAGTAAAGAAGAGTGGATAAAATGTTCTGATGGAGGTCACAGACTCTCTCCACAGCACCGATGTCACCAGAAAGTTCACACTAAGCTTTTTCTCCAGTGTGTATTCTTTCGTGACTTTGTAAATTGCTACTTAATGTAAATGTGGCACCACAAACTTCACACTTGTAAGGTTTTTCTCCTGTGTGTATTCTTTTGTGTGTCTGTAGATTTCCACTTTCTGTAAATCCGACACCACAAATGTCACACTTGTAAAGTTTTTCTCTTGTGTGTATTCTTTTGTGATTTCGTAAATTGGAACTGAATGTAAATGTGGCACCACAAACTTCACACTTGTAAGGTTTTTCTCCTGTGTGTATTCTTTTGTGACTCTGTAGATTTCCGTTCTGTGTAAACGTGGCACCACAAACTTCACACTTGTAAGGTTTTTCTCCTCTGTGTATTCTTTTGTGTTTCTGTAGATTACTGCTACTAGCAAAAGTGACACCACAAACTTCACACTGGTAACGTTTTTTTCCTGAGTGTATTCTTTTGTGACGCTGTAGATCGCTACCATATGCAAAAGTGGCACCACAAACTTCACACTTGTACGATTTTTCTCCTGAATGTATTCTTTTGTGTTTATGTAGACTACTGCTACAAGTAAATGTGACACCACAAACTTCACACTTGCAAGGTCTATCTATTGTGTATGTTCTTTTGTGCCTCTGTAGGTCACCTAGTTCTGTAAACATCTCAAGACAGACATTACACTTGTGAGGTTGTTCTCCAGAGTATCTGCTTTCCCTGACCAGAGACCTTGGAACAACTTGGCAACCAGCGCCCATCTCTTTGTACACTTTTGGGGGTGTGGTACTAGAAGATTCCGTAGAATTCATACAACTGGCAAAAGACTTAGCACAAGAAAGGTTGAAATCGGGACCTTGTCCCATGGACTGTTTACTATCACAAGACATACGACTTTTGCCGCCAGACTCATGCTTTGAACTTACGTTAAGACGATTTCCTGGCCCTGTCTGTGAAACAATCTTACACACATCACTTTCCACACCAATATCATCAGCTTTCGCTTCACTTGCAAAAGCACAGTCATTTAAACTCATGTCACATTCTTCGTAGAGATTTCTGTTGTCCATCTGCTTGTCACCTGCTATGTTCTGATGGAGGTCACAGACTCTCTCCACAGCACCGATGTCACCAGAAAGTTCACACTTAGGTTTTTCTCCTTTGTGTATTCTTTTGTGACTTTGTAAATTGCTACTTAATGTAAATGTGGCACCACAAACTTCACACTTGTAAGGTTTTTCTCCTGAGTGTATTCTTTTGTGATCATGTAGACTGTTACCACTTGTAAACGTGGCACCACAAACTTCACACTTGTAAGGTTTTTCTCTCGTGTGTATTCTTTTGTGTTTATGTAGACTACTGCTACTAGCAAAAGTGACACCACAAACTTCACACTGGTAATGTGTTTTAGTTGAGTGTGTTCTTTTGTGACGAAAAAGACAGCTACCGTGAGCAAAAGTGGCACCACAAACTTCACATTTGTAAGGTTTTTCCCCAGTGTGTATTCTCTTGTGATCCTGTAGACTGCTACCACGTGTAAACGTGGCACCACAAACTTCACACTTGTAAGGTTTTTCTCCTGTGTGTGTTCTTTTGTGCCGCTGTAGACTGATACCTTGTGTAAAGGTTGCACGACAAACTTCACACTTGTAAGGTTTTTCTCCTGTGTGTATTCTTTTGTGACTCTGTAGATGTCCACTCTGTTTAAATGTGGCACCACAAACTTCACACTCGTAAGGTTTTTCTCCTGTGTGTGTTCTTTTGTGATCCTGTAGACTTCTACAACGTGTAAATGTGGCACCACAAACTTCACACTTGTAAGGTCTTTCTCTTGTGTGTGTTCCTTTGTGATCCTGTAGATGTCTGCTCTTGGTAAATGCAGCACCACAAACTTCAGACTGGTGAGGCCTATCTCTTGTGTGGTTTTTTTCGTGTGTCTGTAAGTTACCTACTTCTGAAAACATTTCACCACAGACTTTACACTCATGAGGTTTTTCCCGACCATGGTAGAGATTTCTGTTGTCCATCTGCTTGTCACCTGCTATGTTCTGATGGAGGTCACAGACTCTCTCCACAGCACCGATGTCACCAGAAGAGGTTTCTTTCCGGACACTGCCAACATTCTCTTCATAGACCCTTTGTCCTGTCTGAAATCTGCAGCTTGAACTTTGACCTTGTCTTCTCTGCATATCACTTGTCTGTTGTACCGGGTGACCGGAAGTCAGTGGCCAATGAGGGGAAGTCGAGACATCTGAAAGAAGACAAGTAACGGACAAGTTATCTACTGACAGTAAGAGGAACCATCTAGAAGAAGACAAAAATTATGAATTTGTGAACAATTTATCTAACCAAGTTTATTCAACTTACAGTACAATCCGCTTTTATCGACATACTTTGGGAAATGGATTTGATGTCGATACATAAAAATGCTGTAAAGTTTATTGTTAGCTTGATTTTTCGAGACATCTGGAAAAGACAAATAACGGACAAGTTATCTAACCCTGACAGTAAGATGAAACATCTGGAAGAAGACAAATAATGGACAAGAAATCTAGCACTGACAGTAAGATGAAACATCTGGAAGAAGACAAATAATGGACAAGTTATCTAACACTAACACTGATGGTAAGATGAAACATCTGGTATTAACATTTTTTATTTTTGGTTAATGTTTTATGAATCTCACAACTGAAACATTTGGAAGACGACAATTAAAGGACAAGTTATCTAACTACAATAAAACACGGCTATAGCAGGACATTTTGTTCCAGAAGAAAAAACCTGCTGTAAAGCGAGTTCCCGCTATAGGAATGCAAAGGGGAATTTACTTAAAAACTTCTAAAAATCCACATCTCACTTCCATAGCAATAAAATTTGCGCTTTTGATTAGTCTTCCTTTTCTTGTCAACTTCGTTGATTATCTCGGCTTTTAATTCGAGTGAGAAACATTTCCTTTTGTCATTGTTGGAAGCCATCTTTTCCTCGGTTTCGTTGCTTGTGCTGTCTATCGTATCGGAAGAGCAACTGTAGAACTGGTGAAGTGGATTCGTGCGTATGCCTATGAGCATCAACGATCACAATTCAATGAATCAGGAATCACACAGCATGCCATGCTCTCCTCTTCTTTTACTTTTTGGCCTAGCCTAGGCCTAGGGCTATGGCCTATACGCTCTCATACTGAGCCTCTAAGCTTTTGGAGTGGCTCACGTAACGCGTCTCTCCGCACCATCTCTCTCTGCCACACCTCACTCCGTTGACTGCCTGTTTTGGAGCCCGCCTACAGACCCCCCACCCCTTCCCCCCAGATAGAGCTCGCTCGATCTCTCCTGTTGTATCCGAGTTCGGGATTTTCCTTGCCCCGCTAAACCCGAGCACAGGTAATCGAGTTTACATAGAGAAAAAAAAGGAGATTTCAGTAAGGTCCCGCTGTGGGGATGGTACTGCTGTAGCGGGTGCCGCGTAATTGTGTTCTGCTGTATTCTCTTTATTATGAACGAGATATCTACCCAAGTTTATCTAACATATAAATAACATATTATAATGAATCTAATGACAGGAAAAGAATGATCAAGATGAGATGTGGCTGCTATCCTACACACTTAAAACACAAGCCTGAAATTTACTATGACTGTCTACACATTCATCCCACTTGTGCTTTTCGTCCCTTTTCTCAAACATCATGTCATTTTTTTACATTTCAAGAGAAGGAACAGACAACAACCACAGGAACACTGGGTTATTTTCTGTAATCGTAAATGTTGGAGACCTGTGATTTCTTTCCACCGACCCACAAAAAGGAATGACAAAAAAGTGGTCAGCACGTCTGCGTTGTACAGGCATAAAGTCAAAGAAAAGACAGTTTGCCGTGTCATGTCACCGTGTGATGGAATGAGGAAGTGGACAGTGAGTCTAATGACACTGACAATCATTCACTGTAAAAAAACAACAACCCAACTTTCTTTAATTTCAAAGGAGATGGTGCTGCACATCTATCGTAGCAGTAGCTCAAAACTACAATATATATTCTATTTATACACATTATATAATAATGTTATTTTGCCTAAATTGTCCACCCTTTAGCTCTCCATGCCAAGCTGTAGCCACCAGTAGTTGTACCTCACTACCATTTTAAAAACCGACGGCACAAACCATTTGCTTTTCTCCTGTCCACAAACTTAAACCATAAAGTAAATAAACGTCTGGAGAAACTTCAAAGGAACTGTGCCACCTCAGCTTGTCGGTGTATCTGGTGACAAGGCTTCTATGGGATCACAGTGACGCAAAATGTCTGGGACTAATGAGAATCAGGTAAAGGGGTTTTAAAAAGTACGTCTATCAGTCAAACCCCGTTATACCGCCTACCTTGGGATGAGCATGAAGTTGGCGGTACAATGGGGCTGGCGGTATAATGGGATAGACGCACCAACTGCCATCTTGACCTGTGGTAGACTGGTAGAGACTAGAGACAATTAAACTGTGGCCAATCTTGACTCATCTAGATCTGTCTAGCATGATTGCCATGTGCAGGGGAAAAATAAGAAATTACCAATTGCAACAGGTACAGTAGTTTTGCACTATTACATAAATTGTCTGACTGTTTCAAGTCCTGCTTTTTGCTTATTTTTTTATGCCGGGTGAAATTTTATTATCTACATTTAGAATGAATTTGAGCCTTGATAACTTTTTCGGATTTTAATTATATATCAACAGCAATTCCATTGCCACTACAGCTTTTTCTGATCCAATAAAAGCAGATCTACTTTGAAACACTTTACATTTCTTCGTGGTATTCTTTTATATAAAATAAAGTCTATTAACACTCAGATTCAATGAACATTATATATATATATGTACGTTGGGCCAAATAAATTTTCATGCCAGTATAACTGCATGATAATAATAATATGCACCTGGGATGTCTTGGAATTGCTGATTTTTTAACAACTGACAACTTGACAAACCGCATCAAGAAATGCTTAGCACATCATATATAGAAAAGTCCACACACAGAAGGATTCTACATACCAGAACTCTCACCATGATCCCAGCTGGCCCTGACAACAGATCCTGAACTTGTGACTGGATCAGAAGAGAAAGTTGAAGTTGGACTACTGGAAGCAACAACATCAGTGTCGGGGCTGGCACTCTGCTCCATACACAAGCTCCTCACATTGGAGATTTTCAGCTGTAGTCCTCCAGCCTGACTCATGTGATCCTCAACAAACACGGGCTCAGCACACGTATCCTCCACATCTCCCACTTGTCCTTCTGTCTTTCCTACCTCTCCAAAGTCTGGACCTTCCCATTCTGACACTTCTTCTTTCACAAAATTCTCCACTTTTGGTCTCACTTCATCACCAAAGTCAGGAAAATGTCCAAATAGTGGTTCCGTTTTCACCGTACAGATATCTGTGAGGCACTCTGGTTTAATGACAGGTTTCACGTCTTCCTCCTCTGTACAGATAGGCTCATCTTTTACTACACTGTGTCTGAGAGTCAGGCTACTTTCACTTTCAACGTTCAGTTTGTCATTTGTCTCGGCCTTGACGTCACACAGACATTCAAAACTGGGTTCTTCTTTTACTGACAGATGTTCCTCATCAACACCCACAGATTCACTTTCCCTGCCTATAACTATTATAATGTCATGTTTTTTTACATCTTCCCTTAAACTGTTAGTACAAAGAGTACCCGTACTAGTACTAGATCTAGATCTAGTCCCAGAACTAGACGTAAGTTCACTTTTAACAACTATGCTATCAATCCCAAGATTCACACCTTCTCCAGAAGAACAAGGAACAAATAAATCACAAGTTTTCACACATCCAGAGCCATTATCATTTCCAGAGTTAAGTCTATACATTGTTATTGTTGTGTCTTCCTCACAGTTGGCGTCCATTTGTTTACTTGTGTAGGAAATGTCAGCCATCTTGATAACACAGTCACAATGTCAATGATGACACTACCCTAACATGTACACACAATTACTTCTATAAAAACGAATAAACATTGCCATGAAGAGGAAGTCAAACTGACTTCATGTTCCAAATTTGATACGTTCAAGCATAGATAGAGATAGGCCAAGATAGATGGCGTCCAAATTCTAGGATCAAACAAGTATGAAGACCTTTAGAACAGTTTTAGCAGTATAGTATGTAGGCCTATCAGCCTTTAATAGTTGTATTCGGTCAATTTATTATTATTATTATTATTATTATTATTATTATTTATTATTATTATTATTCCTATCATAATTGTTAGGAAGAGGCTAGTCGTACTGGTGATCTTATACTTTAGCACGTTAAATTCTTCAATTGAGGACTTCCGAAACGAGCGACCACTATTAGATCTGGATCTAAATTCTATATCATCAAGATTACACTAGATCTAATGGCTTCCAAAATCATGATGGAAGACCGAAAACCACTGTTATACGATCTGTTGATGGACAAAATTACGGTAGTTTGCGCATTTTTAGGCCCAGTTCAAAGTTTTGAAGGTCTGAGTCGGGGATTAGTAGACTTTGGGAAGTTAACGTGCTAAAGTATTAAGATAGCTGTACTTCAAATATACTCCACTACTCTCCATGAGGATCTTTGCTTATGGCTAGACCTGCAAACAGAAAACAATAGGCCTGCTGAATTGTAAATACATTTTTAGTTTGCATGCAGTACCTAAAGTATTTGTATTTGAGACGAAACCAGGTGCCTTACACTGACAGTGACAGACAGCGCATGTATTTTAAACCTGAATCATTACTAATGAGAGCTGTGTACTCAACAGGTTTCTAACAGGGCTAAGGCTGCGCGCTGCGCGACTCACGCACTGAAATCTAGATTCTAAGAAAGAACGTTTTATTCAGAGACCCTTCAGATTAGGCAGATCCATCATCCAGTGCCAGATCTGTGACAGACATCGGCGATCATGGTTCTCCATTCATTCCCTTGTTCGGATGCTCTCAAAAAAGCTACGTTTCCCTCCTGATCTTTCCCTGTTACCCATTTGTTTAGGTTACCAAAGTATGTTGTTCTGGGCCTATCGCCCTGCCTCGCTTGCCCTCAATTTTGCCAGTGAGAGCTCGGTGTTCAAGACCCAAATGTCTATTTATAACCTAGCATCTGCGTTTGTTGCCATTTTTTTGTCCAAAAGTTGCCACAAAAATGGCAAAAGTTGCCATAAAAGTTGCCATTAATTTTCAAGCTTTCAATTCTCTGTGACGACGTATATCAATACAGTGGAAACCTGGTATAACAGGGATGGTGGGAGTAGAGAAAACGTCCTGTTATATGCAAGGAAAGTGAGCATTTGTGGACTAATCCAGCTGTACTTATTCATGGATAGTTTCCCTAGCCACAAGTACCCACGAACATGGGTTTTGGCACCGACTTTCTCCTTACGTCCTTAAAACCACATCAGAAGAGCTTGGTTCACAGCATCTGCATCGGGTAGTCTCGTCTTCTTTCGATCCAGAGCGAACTTTTCATTTGAGTATGCTGCCACTGTCTTCTCTCTATCCTTGATAATGGTGGGAATCGACCCTTTGTGGAATGTCGAACTGACGACAAATCTCTGCCAGTAGAGCTTGCTTTTTGTGAACAGTCTAGATTATTTCGTAATTTTTGTCAATTGAAAGGCATTTTCTCTTGCGCTTGACATCGTTGGTGACCATAATGAAAGAAGTAGGCTTAGATCTAGGCCGACCGATCGTCCTCTCTCTCTCTCTCTCCCTCTCTCTCCCTCTCTTTCTCTCTCTCTCTCTCTCTCCCTCTCTTTCTCTCTCTCCCTCTCTTTCTCTCTCTCTCACTTTTTACACATTGTTAACGAGCCTTTGTCCCTGCTATAACCGGTTGGGCTCCGATGAGGCCCTGTTATTGCCGATAACTTTTAATAGAGACAAAGAGTAGGAAAAAACGGGGATTTTAAACATCCCTGTTATTACCGGATCCCTGTTATTTCCGGGCCTGTTATATATATGGTTTCCACTGTACCTTGATTTTTGATAAAGGCAACTTACTCTCAAGCACCAGAATTTCTTGAGCTCTATTTTAAGCATCCAGAAAATCATTTGTAGCCATACAGAGTGAAAAAAAAAAGGTTTCACAAGAGAATGAAATCAAAATGAGAACAGCACATAGCCTAAACAACCACAACAATTAACTGATAAGGGCGTGCGTCCATCTATCCGAAGATTGGCCGTTCTAACCCAAAACGTGCGTAATTCAAGAAAACGTATAGGATATTACATCATGTTGTTGTTGTGGGGTTTTTGTGAGACATGGGGGGGGGGGTTATTAGTAGAGTTTTTTTGGCGCTCGTAACTTCATAAGATTATCCTATATGAATATGAGCGCCAGAAGATAAGAGGTGTTACAAGAGAGAGTAACAAACAAAAAAAATAGAAGGGGAAGATAAGGACGATAGATGTTTGATAGGAAAGAAGGAGCAACAGCAAACCACACCAGAGCAACCGCCAACCACCCACTTACATGTAAATTATGGAATTACACTTAAGGGGCCTATGTCAGTACATGCGTTCGGTTTTGGTGGAGACGCGCTCTAACATAGAACACATGTATATTTTGGCCATGTGTAGCTTTGCCCTAGGCCTAGGCTAGATCCTATGTCCGCGCGCGTGGCTGTGTGCATCTGCCTTCCTCTCCGCCCGTGTGAGTGTGTGTCCATCACTTGCGTTCTTTGTGTTTCTCTTCACACACTCAACTGCTGCGGTATAGACTATGTTCGAACTTCGATGGGTCATCATGAAAATATTGACTGTCTTGTAAATCAAGCGTGCTTGAAGCCGAAGTAACCGTGTCTTAAAGGCGTGTAATTTAATATATATAGCAAAAATTCGGTAAGAGCCATTTAGCGTGCTTGAGTCCGAAACGTGCTTTAAGCCGGCACGGACTGTATATGAAGCTCATGTGGTAGGCCTACACACAATTGAATTGACCCAAGTTTATTTGGAACAAACAAAAAAAAGAAATAATAATAAAAATATGACAAAATCAGCACCAAAGTAATTCATATGTTGAAAGACGTTCTTAGTTTATTAAATAAAGGGTGACCTTATTTAGGCCACACTGTGGCCTAAATAAGCTAAAAAAACCCTTCCTTATCTTATTTAGGCCACATCATATGGTAGATTTCTTGAACTAACCATGGATTCGGAAGGTCGAGATTCTACTGATCTTTTTATTTAGTGCGGGGATTATTTCAAAATAGAGGATGATACTAAATGATGAGTGGACCAAGGGTAAGAGTTGTGTGTCTGTGTGTGTGCGTGTGTGTGTGCGTGTGTGTGTGTGTGTTTGTTTTGTCTGTGGTTGTGGTGAGAGAGAGATCGAGAGAGAGAGAGATCGAGAGAGAGAGAGAGAGAGAGAGAGAGAGAGAGAGAGAGAGAGAGAGAGAGTAAATGTAATAATGTGTTTGTATGTGTGTAATGTGTGAATGTTATTGTGTGCATGAGTGTCTATCTCAGTTGTACGGTCCAAATGTACATTATTTTGTTGAGAATTTTACATAGAACTCAACTACAAAACACCTTTATATATATATATATACAAAGTCACAGAAATATTTTTTTGGTGCTTATTGAGGTGCGGTACAGGGTGATTTCACCTGAAAGGATAATTGGTCAAATTGGGCAATATCTTTATAATGCTAATACTAATGGTCATATTTAGACAAATCCTATTCATTCTCTTTTTTTTCTTAACAGCTCATGGTTATTAAAGAGTAAGCAAACTAGATCAAGGTAGTAATTTCGGATTCCTAATATTATGGGCATTCTTTAAAAAATTTAACTTGTTTTTAGCGCTTTTCTCAACGTAAAACGGATTCCGTTAAAAAAAACAACAACAATGACCTTATCTTTCTTTTTCAAGGTATTGTGCATACATTTGTGTGAAACTATTTTATTCTATGCTTTCATGCACATGAAAAAAGCTAATAAAGTCAAGCAAAATGTGCATCAGAGACATAGATCTAGTAGTAGGCCCACTGGAACATTTTTTAAACCGTTAAAAAGATGACCAGAAAATAACAAAATTATCTTATGATCTTCACTTGCACTTGCAATTTTTTGACAAATTATAGTCTACCTCATTATCTTTTTTTTCCACCTTTTTCTTCACTATTCATGACAACTGGCATGTTTTTCAGTTATTATCAAGGAAGTGGATAGGTGGACCGCGGGGTCTACCTAACAAAATGCTAGGTTTTAGGATGTGAACCCCGGAGTCAGCGTAGTGAAATAAGTAGATCTAGGTTTAACTAAGGATCGGTGGACCCCGGGGTCAACATAGTGAAATAAGTAGATCTCAGTTTATTTTATAGTAGGACTGGCGGAGCCCGTGGTCAACGTAGTGAAACTATAAGTAGATCTGGGTTTAATAAGAATTGGTGGACCCCGGGGTCAACGTAGTGAAATCAGTAGATCTAGGTTTAATTAAGAATTGGTGGACCCTGGGGTCAACGTAGTGAAATAAGTACATGTTGATCTAGGTTTAATTTTAAGGATTGGTGGACCCTGGAGTCAACGTAGTGAAATAGGTAGGTTTAAGGTGGACCCCAGGGTCTACCTAACGTTTGGTTTTAGAATAGGTGGACCATGCGGTCACCGTAGTTAAGTAAAATATAAAGGTTTAATTTAATCACGGTGTCCCGGGGGTCCACCAATCCTTAATTAAACCTTCTTATTCCTCTACGGCTATGGTGACTCCGGGGTCCACCAATCCTTTTAAAATTAAACCTACTTATTTCACTACGATGACCCCGGGGCCCACCTGTCCTAAAACCTAGTACTTCGCTATGCAGACCCCGGAGTCCATCTATCCTCTACAGGACTATACTATTATCAATTTGCAATTTTCATTGATTTTCATTTTTTTTTTTTTTATATTGAATCAGAGACTCACTGTCTAAAAAGTCCACTGCTAATGCTATTCTTATCAAAGAAAAGGCACAATTTGACTTTAAGACATGTCAAAAAAAGAGTTTTAAAAATATCCAGAAAATAACATAAAATGATTATATAGATCTAGATCTAAAGATATTTTATTATGTATATATACTTAAAAGTAAAAGACAGAGCAGACGCTTACAATGTAAATCCTGTGCTCTACAAGTACAAGTAGAGAAAGTCTTAAGTTTGCGCAAAACAGATTTTAGAAAAAAAAAGTTGGATCTAATTATTCTAATAAAAGTAAAAGTGATTGTTATGGTGATATTTGTTATTATTAACTCTGGAAACACAGATAGTTGCTGAATCTAAAATTAACTAGAACTGTGCAATTCGTTTTATTTCAATTCCAAAGCCCAAAGGCATGGCAATGTGTTAGATCTAGATCTAGCAGTTGTAGGCTCTCTGGCTGCTTCTACTGATTCTAGACAGGGAATCTAGATCTAGCTATCACCTGCACTATTAAAGTCAAATATATGGTAAAATAAAAACAAAACTGAATCGCTTTGTCAGTCAGTACATCCCAATTGCCATAGCCGCACGTATTAATAGTTGAATATTACACTGAAGCAACACGTTATCACAGTGTGCAGGGGAGAGCAGGGTGCCCGGGTCGCTGACCGGTCGATTCGGTGGTTCGGCTATTGTAGATCTATGCATTTTTTAAGGAAAGCCCTATTACTAGATCTATTAGTGTTGTGAAAACTTCAACCTCTACAGCTAAGGCGTCAAAAGATGTTGGAAAATAATAATACGTCCTGAAGTTTCATAATTTATACAGAATAACACAGCCAGTAGTTTTTATTTCATCGAGTTATAAAAATGGCCTTGTAACTTGTTTTCAGAAGCAAATTTTAATAGTTCCAGTTCTACTGAATCGATTTTCACGCAAATTCAACCATTTTGATGACCTTTCTTTTCCTTTTAAAAAGATGTAGGCCTGTCGGATGTGGCAGTGCGATTAACACTAATTTGTTTAGACCCATCAAAACACGAGGCTTCGTGGCCGATCACAAAGGTCTACAGGGCTTATCGAGGCCGATTCGCCCTGCCGCGTGCACGTTCACTAAACTGCCTACTAGATAGAATCTACTACCAAAGATTCTCTACACGATCTTTGCTGCTGCTACTACTACTACTAGATCTACATGTACTACTACGAGACAGTACGAGAGATACTACTACGAGACAGTACGAGAGAGTGCCACTCAGGCAAAGATAGTGTAACTTTGACTCAGCCACGTTGTGTACACACTTTTTATACCCCAAATTTGACCCGGAAGTCCATTCGGAGGATTTGACCTTTTCACTTGACCAAAGAGTGCCAAAATGGTAGCCTAGATTTCGCCCCTCCATGAAGGAAAAATCTGGCCCTCATTCAAACCATTGGGATTGAGCAAAATTTTGCGTATCGTGCTTTGTTCTTACAATATTCATTATGATATATATATATATATAAGTTGTACACTGAGACAAAACTGTACTAAATGAGAAAGGTGCACCATTATGAAAGTGGAACGAACTCAGTTGCCTGAAAAGGGTGTCCCCCGGTAGTTTGAGTATGTGTGGCCTAAATAAGCTAAACCCCCCTCCCTTACCATATTTAGGCCACCTGTGGTCCATAATATAATGGGAGTGCTTATTTAGGCCACCTGTGGCCTTAATAAGCTAAACCCCCCTCCCTTACCTTATTTAGGCCATATGTGGCCTAAAAAAATTATATTATGGACCTGCATTAGACTAACATCAAAGAAAACCTGACAGAACTTTAGTTTGCAGTGACCTTCGTTAAATTAAGTAACATGTAGTCATCCAACTTTTACACACGCATGCTAATGACAATTTATAAATATACCGTAAACTGGGCTGACTCAGGAAGGTAATTGGCTGTCCCCATGGTTTTATACCAAAAAAATCCAGTGTATTGGGACTATGTCTTCAACAGAATACAGTATATATATAATATGAAGTTCCTGAGGTAGGCCTACACACAATTGAATTGACCCAAGTTTATTTGGAACAAAACAAAGAAATAATAATAAAAAGATTACAAAATCAGCACCAAAGTAATTCATATGTTGAAAGACGTTCTTAGTTTATTAAATAAAGGGTGACCGATTTTTGCCCAACCTCAACTTACGACACTTGAGCTGCTACCCTGAGAGTTATGCCTTTCCAAAAACGTGAGATACCGGGGTTGACAAGTATAAGGACCAAAATCAACTTTATGAAGGTACCGTATTCTAATTCTCCATCAGATCTATATGTAGCCTAATGATTGCTCTTACAGACTGAGTTCCTGTCACAGCTCTACCGTATGCAATAGTCTTGGTGTTATGCTGCTTTACATCATAATAGCAAAACATTTGTTAGTAACAACAATAATAAATACTTAGACCACTTCTCAGCTAGGCTGAGGTTTTATTGTAAAACAGAACACAACTTTTTTTAAGGGGAGGTAGCTATGGTACACACCAATATGACTATTGAGTTGTTATTGTGCTTGTTTTTCAGCTTCAATGTGTTTGTCTGGTGGAAATAGGATACCCTAAACTTTAAAAAAATACAGAAATACAGAAATAATACAAGCAAAAACAGATAAAACTGTCCCCATCGTTTTATGCAAGAAAAATTCTGAACTTATGCAAACTAAGCCCAAAAATGTGAAATTATGCGATTCTGTTAATTTTAACAAAGAATGATAAAGGAAAATAGAAATTATGCAAAAAATGATCAAATTTTGCAAAATTATGCGGGGTGCATAAAACCATGGGGACAGATAAAATTCAACTGATGAAATTGTTACTGTTCCTGGCACACGTTCTGAACAAACGAGAAGCCAGAAGTAACATGATAATACCGTGGAGCCCGCCTAAAATGAACACGCTTTATTTGAACAATCGGTTAAACTGAACGATATTCTGTGGTTCCGATTGAATTTGTTTTTAAGCAAAGAAGAGTGGAAAAAATAAACCGGTTTCATGGGGAAATTGGATACGGTGAACTCCCAAAATGAGTGAAAGCGAAGAACGGACCGACTTTGTCACTGTCGCCAGGCTGTGAAAGTAACATTCTTTGCCTCTGGCATCGGCAAACAATCCCTTTTTTTTTTTATAGTAGAGGGTTTTACGGCACTCGCAACTGAATAAGATCATATGACCGCGAGAAGATTAGAGGTGTTACAAGAGAGTAACAAACATAAAAAAGAAGAAGGGGAGATAAAGACAATAGATGTTTGAGTCTGATAGGAAAGAAGAAGCAGACCACACCAGAGCACCCGCCAACCACCAGCGCACAAGAGAGTGACAAACATACAAAAGAAGTAGAGGAAAATGACAATAGTAAGGATCAGGAAAGAAAAAGCAGCAGCTCCCTGTTGCAGATTAGGCAGTTATGAACGTGACATGAGTCAGCCCATTTACAATTCTTCTATGCTTGAACGAGAAATGTCCCCCCTTTGGGAATGGCCTAAAGATACTTCAGTCAGTGGCACTGCCCCGGGGGGTAAACAATCCCAGCTCGGCATTGGCAACGTCAATCTCAATCAGAAAGAAAGAGTTCTAGTCTAGGCTCGCCCGCTGTGTTGTCAACCCATCCCCCACCCCACCTTCACCATAGACCCACCACTGCGCGTAGCTACCGTCTCTAGGCCTCCACGCTACCAAAATGGGAAAAACTGAACCTCGGATAAAGTGAACTCTTTCTCCTGGTCCCAAAGAGTTCACTTTAAGCATACTCCACAGTATAAGTAAACTACCAACTGTGTAAACTTTCTTTGACAATTAAGAACATACAGTACGGTATGTCATTGTTACAAATAAGTTTCAGGTTTTTCATAACCTTCATGACACATAACACATCGGATCATAACAAAGACGACATACTTCAGTTAGGACCCAAACATTAAAATACACTAATATAATGTCCTTGGCACAAAACACTTTCCAATAAAGAGGCATATTTACACCGAAATTCAAAGTTTATACATTAAAAACTCCCCTCAATTCTATGTAATGATTTGTTCAATACAATGACAACAAACTGAAGTTAACATTGATCTGACATTCTCATAAAACACGGCATTAGTTAATAAGACTCTTTTCATAATATGCCCACACATACACAAACACACACACAAAATAAAAACATGCACACACACAAACACACACACCATCTTGAACAGGGACTCCTCCCAGAGACTCAGTGCGGATTCCGGGCAAAACAGGGGACCACAGACATGATCTTTACTGCCCGCCAATTCCAGGAAAAATGCCAGGAGCAACACTTTGACTTATTCATGACCTTTGTGAATTTAACGAAGGCCTTCGACACTGTCAGCACAGAAGGACTGAGGTGGATCACGAAGAAGTACCGAGCCCAAGTAAGTTCATCACCATCGTCAGACAGCTTCACGACGGTGTAATGGTGAAGGTTCTAGAAGACGGAGACGAGTCAGACACCTTCCCTGTGACCAATGGCGTCAAACAAGGGTGTGTCCTTGCCCCAACTCTCTTCAGTACGGTATTTTCCGCCACATGGATGTTGAAATCAACAACAGAGTTGCCAAGGTCAGCGCCGCTTTCAGGAGACTCAGCCAAAATGTCTGGGAGCACAGAGGACTCAGTCTCTCCACAAAGCTGAAGGTGTACCGGGCGGTGGTTCTTACCATCCTACTTTACGCCAGCGAGACATCGACTGTCTACAACAAACACGCCAAGCAGCTCAATCGACTCCACCTGAGCTGTCTCCGTAAAATCCTCCGCATCAGATGGCAGGACAAAGCCCCAGACACGGATCTTCTAGAGCGGGCCGGAATCCCCAGGATCTACATCCCCCCCCCAGAGAACACGAGCCAGATGGGCCGGCCACGTGGACACATCTTGGCAACCAGCACCCATCTCTTTGTACACTTTTGGGGGTGTGGTACTAGAAGATTCCGTAGAATTTATACAACTGGCAAAAGACTTAGCACAAGAAAGGTTGAAATCGGGACCTTGTCCCATGGACTGTTTACTATCACAAGACATACGACTTTTGCCGCCAGACTCATGCTTTGAACTTACGTTAAGACGATTTCCTGGCCCTGTTTGTGAAACAATCTTACACACATCACTTTCCACACCAATATCATCAGCTTTCGTTTCACTTGCAAAAGCACAGTCATTTAAACTCATGTCTCGATCTTTGTAGAGATTTCTGTTGTCCATCTGCTGGTCACCTGCTATGTTCTGATGGAAGTCACAGACTCTCTCCACAGCACCGATGTCACCAGAAAGTTCACACTTAGGTTTTTCTCTTGTGTGTGTTCTCTTGTGAATCTGTAGACTGCTACTGCATGTAAATGAGGCACCAGAAACGTCACACTTGTAAGGTGTTTTCCCCTGTGTGTATTCTTTTGTGACGAAAAAGACTGCCAGTGTGTGTAAACGTGGCACCACAAACTTCACACTTGTAAGGTTTTTCTTGTGTACCGGTATGTATTCTTTTGTGAACCTTTAGATTGCTACCATGTGTAAAAGAGGCACCACAAACTTCACACTTGTAAGGTTTTTCTCCTGTGTGAATTCTTTTGTGACATTGTAGATGTCCGCTCTGTGTAAAAGTGGCACTACAAACTTCACACTTGTAAGGTTTTTCTCCTGTGTGTGTTCTTTTGTGACGCTGTAGACTGATACCACTTGTAAAATCTGCACCACAAACTTCACACTTGTAAGGTTTTTCTCCTGTGTGTGTTATTTTGTGCTTCTGTAGAAGTCCGCTCTGTGTAAAAGTGGCACCACAAACTTCACATTTGTAAGGTTTTTCTCCTGAATGTATTCTCTTGTGATTGTGTAGACTGCTACGCTGTGTAAACGTGGCACCACAAACTTCACACTTGCAAGGTTTTTCTCGTGTACCAGTATGTATTCTTTTGTGAACCTTTAGATTGCTACCATGTGTAAAAGTGGCACCACAAACTTCACACTTGTAAGGTTTTTCTCCTGTGTGAATTCTTTTGTGACTTTGTAGATGTCCGCTCTGTGTAAAAGTGACACCACAAACTTCACACTTGTAAGGTTTTTCTCCTGTGTGAATTCTTTTGTGACGCTGTAGATGTCCGCTCCGTGTAAACGTGGCACCACAAACTTCACACTTGTAAGATTTTTCTCGTGTACCGGTATGTATTCTTTTGTGAACCGTTAAATTGTTAATACGTGTAAAAGTGGCACCACAAAATTCACACTTGTAAGGTTTTTCTCGTGTACCGGTATGTATTCTTTTGTGAACCTTTAGATTGCTACCCTTTGTAAAAGTGGCACCACAAACTTCACACTTGTAAGGTTTTTCTCCTGTGTGTGTTCTTTTGTGAAGCTGTAGACTGCTACCAAGTGTAAAATCTGCACCACAAACTTCACACTTGTAAGGTTTTTCTCCTGTGTGTGTTCTTTTGTGCCTCTGTAGAAGTCCGCTTAGTGTAAACGTGGCACCACAAACTTCACACTTGTAAGGTTTTTCTCGTGTACCGGTATGTATTCTTTTGTGACGCTTTAGACAGTGACCACGTGTAAACGTGGCACCACAAACTTCACACTTGTAAGGCTTTTCCTCTGTGTGTATTCTTTTCTGATCCCGTAGATTTCTGTCACATGTTAACGTGGCACCACAAACTTCATAGACCCTTTGTCCTATCTGAAATCTGCAGCTTGAACTTTGATCTTGTCTTCTCAGCATATCACTTGTCTGTTGTACCGGGGAACAGGAAGTCAGTGGCCTATGAGGGCAAGTCGAGGGATCTGGAAGTAGACAAAATACGGACAAGTTATCTAACCCTGACAGTACGATGAAACATCTGGAAGAAGACAAATAATGGACTAGTTATCTAACACTAATACTGATGGTAAGATGAAACATCTAGTATTAACATTTTTTTTTTTGGTTAGTGTTTTACGAATCTCGCTACTGAAACATCTGGAAGACGGCAAATAAAGGACAAGTTATCTAACCGCAATAAAACACGGTTATAGCGGGACATTTTGTTCCAGAAGAAAAATTCTGCTGTAAAGCGAGTTCCCGCTATAGGAATGCAAAGGGGAATTTACCGAAAAACTTATAAAAATCCACATAAATATCTCACTTCCATAGCAATAAAATTTGCGCTTTTGATTAGTCTTCCTTTACTTGTCAACTTCGTTGATTACCTCGACTTTTAATTCGAGTGAGAAACATTTCCTTTTGTCATTGTTAGAAGCCATCTTTTCCTCGGTTTCGTTGCTTGTGCTGTCTATCGTATCGGAAGAGCAACTGTAGAACTGGTGAAGTGGATGCGTGCGTATGCCTATGAGCATCAACGATCACAATTCAATGAATCAGGAATCACACAGCATGCCATGCTCTCCTCTTCTTTTACTTTTTGGCCTAGCCTAGGCCTAGGGTTATGGTCTATACGCTCTCATACTGAGCCTCTAAGCTTTTGGAGTGGCTCACGTAACGCGTCTCTCCGCACCATCTCTCTCTGCCACACCTCACTCCGTTGACTGCCTGTTTTGGAGCCCGCCTACAGACCCCCCACCCCTTCCCCCCAGATAGAGCTCGCTCGATCTCTCCTGTTGTATCCGAGTTCGGGACTTTCCTTGCCCCGCTAAACCCGAGCACAGGTAATCGAGTTTACATAGAGAAAAAAAAGGAGATTTCGGTAAGGTCCCGCTGTGGGGATGGTACTGCTGTAGCGGGTGCCGCGCAATTGTGTTCCGCTGAATTCTCTTTATTATGAACGAGATATCTACCCAAGTTTATCTAACATATAAATAATATATTATAATGAATCTAACAACTGAAAACGAAAGATCAAGATGAGATGTGGCTGCTATCCTACACACTTAAAACACAAGCCTGAAATTTACTCTGTCTACACATTCATCCCACTTGTGCTTTTCGTCCCTTTTCTCAAACACCATGTCATTTTTTTACATTTCAAGAGAAGGAACACACAACAACCACAGGAACACTGGGTTATTTTCTGTAATCGTAAACGTTGGAGACCTGTGATTTCTTTCCACCGACCCACAAAAAGGAATGACAAAAAAGTGGTCAGCACGTCTGCGTTGTACAGGCATAAAGACAAAGAAAAGACAGTTTGCCTTGTCATGTCACCGTGAGATGGAATGAGGAAGTGGACAGTGAGTTTAATGACACTGACAATCATTTACTGTAAAAAAAACAACAACCCAACTTTCTTTAATTTCAAAGGAGATGGTGCTGCACATCTATCGTAGCAGTAGCACAAAACTACAATATATATATACTCTATTCATACACATTCTATAATAAAAATGTTATTTTGCCTAAATTGTCCAGCCTTTAGCTCCCCATGCCAAGCTGTAGCCACCAGTAGTTGTACCTCACTACCATTTTAAAAAACGACGGCACAAACCATTTGCTTTTCTCCTGTCCACAAACTTAAACCATAAAGTAAATAAACGTCTGGAGAAACTTCAAAGGAACTGTGCCACCTAAGTTTGTCGGTGTATCTGGTAACAAGGCTTCTATATTAGTAAAAAACCAGCCAGATGACGAACGCGTGCATTTGAGCGGAGCGTGCGTTTAGGCGGAGACTACTGTACTGCTCCAGCTGAACTTTCTCGAACATTTCTGCAGGATCAGAAGCTAGATGTTGAGGCAGGACAAACACTAGAAAACCGCAGATCTCACAGAGACGTACATGAGAAAGTTCAGGAAGAGATTATACAATCAGCCGCTGAGTGAGTGCTGTGCGCTGTCTTTAGAGTGTACCTCTGGCCCGTTGAAAGTCGACAGAGATACAAATCATGTGTGTTACAATCATTTCCCCCCCACCCCCGGCTACTGAACAATGAAAGGGAAGTCTAGACATGATAGATGTAAATTTATTATAATAATGAACTGAGCACTGGTCGGTGGAAACAGATGTTGGTGTGTGCTAAGCATTGCGCCACAACTCGTTGCTCACATTGAGCTATAAAGGACTCTCAGATTCAACAAAATCCAAGGTAAGACCCGACCACTTCATTATATTTTGCACTAGATAGATCAAGTTTGACTGTATTGCATAAATTGTCCGACCGTTAAAAGTCCTGCTTTTTGCTTATTAAATTTGTTTAAGCTGGGTGAAATTTTCTACATTTAGAATGAATTTGAGCCGTGATAACTTTTTCGGATTTTAATTTTATTATATATATATATCGACAGCAATTACATTGCCACTATAGCTTTTTCTGATCCAATAAAAGCAGATCTACTTTGAAACACTTTACATTTCTTCGTGGTATTCTTTTATTTAAAATAAAGTCTATAAACACTCAGATTCAATTAACATATGTACATCGGGCCCAATAAATTTGTAATGCCAGTATAACTGCATGATAATATGTACCTGGCACGTCATGGAATTGCTCATTTTTTAACAACCTGACAAACCGCATCAAGAAAAGCAAAACACACCGTATCGAAAAGTCCATACACAGAAAGATTCTACGTACCAGAACTTTCACCGTGATCCCAGCTGGCCCTGACAACAGATCCTGAACTTGCGACTAGATCGGCAGAGAAAGTTGAAGTTGGACTACTGGAAGCAACAACATCAGTGTCGTGGCTGGCACTCTGCTCCATACACAAGCTCCTCACATTGGAGATTTTCAGCTGTAGTCCTCCAGCCTGACTCATGTGATCCTCAACAAACATGGGCTCAGCACACGTATCCTCCACATCTCCCA